CTCTTCCGATCTCCCCAAAACCCCAAAACCCCAATAAGAAAATTCTAGAACTCACAACAGAGAAATTAATTGATCAAAATGTATGTAGTTTATCAATTATAAAACAAAATCTTTTTTATATTTAATTGAAAAATGCAGAGGAAAGTACTTCAGAGCGACACAATGGCCAACCAATTACTTGGTTTGAGCTAAGAATAAGCAGATTAACTAGAGACTTGCCCGTTTCATGACTTAAAGAAAATCTTTGTTTGCCTGTACGATTGTGATCCTGACACAGATGAGATCACTTATTGCTTAGCATGCAAATCAAAGGTCGATCAAAAAAACAAACTAGTACATAATCATAAGGACGAGTACATCCATGTGATCGCAAAAGAAATGAGCAATTAGTATTATGAAATTAGAGGAAAATACGAAGAACTGGTTGGCAAATTTGATGGTTCCTACAGTGATTCAAAAGGTTTATTCACAAAATACTCCGACTTGCTTGAGTATTTGAAAATTTAGAAACTAAAGTTGAGTAAAATTTCACCGCAAAACTAATACTAGGCATTTCAACTTGACAATAAATACAAAGAGCTAAAGGAAATTCTTGAATAATTGTAAGACTATGATAGTAAAGTTAATGATGGCTGCTTAAAATTGAATGCAAAAGATGTTTTGGGGTTGAGAAGAAAATTGGTCGAGATGAATGATTATTATGCAAAAAATTTTCAATATCTTGAGCAATCAATCACGGAACAGATCTGGAACGGCTTTAGAGATGTCTTTTTGGAGGGAGATCTTAGCAATTTACCTGAGTTCGATCATGACAATTATCGTTTTTTCACAGAAATGAAGGAGAGAGCGACTAAACTTTTATACGAATCTAGACTCACAGAATTAACAAGGAAGTAGAATGAATAGGAGCAACAAATTAAGATAATGCAAGAGCAAATTGAAAAGTTAATGGGAATCGTAGGTGAATGACAATAAATCGTAAATGTGCTTTCTATGATAAAGCTTCTCATCCAGTTTATCAATAACATTTTGGACTCGATTAAGACAACATTTTAATATATCTTGAATAGTTTTCAAATTGCTTAAAGGTAACTAATGAGGTATTTATTAATTGTAAATATCTAAGATGCAATATTTTCATTATACACATCTCATTTTTGCCTCGATATTCAATTTTGGGGTTTTGGGGTTTTGGGGTTTTGGGG